GGCGTGATTTCTCAAGGGAACACCATGGCACGGGCCTGCCAGGTACTCCCCCCATCCCAGTGCATTATATTTCATAACAATGTCGATGAATAGAAAATATATATTTGTTGACTAAGTTCTTTGGTACTTAGAAAGTGGGTCGACTAAACAACTAAAAATCTTCAGTGGAGATGACTAGGAGTTGAAAGACCCATGTCATATGTACCCTAACTCCTCCGTCTGGATTCTGAACTGCTCCGCATCAGTTTCTCATTTTCTAAAGTGTATAATTTCAAGAATTTCCCACTGGGTTGTTAAAAGCAATTCTGAAATCCTGTTGGTAAAGGGTTTTGAGGGTTTTTTTTTTTTTCAAAGCAAGTAGGCCTAAGTCAAATAAGAGTACATTGCTAAAAATAGCTTTTGGTTCTAATAAATATATGATGAACAAATTTGCCTTCTGTGACTGAGTTAAGCAATTATTCTATGTGCCATTTAGGTTTTTAGTAAGCAAAACACACATGGAAGGATGGTTACAAGAGTTAAAGGGGGAATGCTGAGATGTGTTTAATTACATAAATAAATTGCTTATATTGTTACAAACTTTTATGTTTTCATCATCACTGGATTTTGTGATAACATTAGTATTTTACAAAATGGCTCTTTTGTAACAGTTTTCAGGGATTATTGGTTTGCCCTATATAGTAATAATAAATAAATGACGATAATAAAAATATTTTGTGTTTGGGTGATCACCTATGAGCACACATGCATATGAGTGCATGTGTACATAGGACACAGAAGTTGATGTCCGGTGTCTTCCCTGGCCACTCCATACCTTATACATTGAACAAGAGACCAGTGTGGCTGCCCTCACTAACTAGCTTGCTCTGAGGATCCCCTGTCTCCATCTCCTGAGTGTTGGGATTATGTTCCATGCTCACTCTCTCAGAATTAACAGGACTGTTGGAGATTTAAACTCTAGTCCTCATGCCCATGACAAGTGGCCCATTTCCTCAGCTCGCCTTCAGAATTTTTACTTCAAGAATATAATAATACAATAAAGGCTTGACTTTTATGGTTTTACTGAAAAGAGAAGCCCCCATTCTCTTCTCCTGAGATTGAGAAAAATAAATATCCTTGACAGAATCATGTGGCATCTTTAGTAACAACCAGAGTGACTACTGGGGATTTGCTGGGTCAACAACCAGTAACATAGAGTCTCAGGAACAATTGTACATTAAATTTTCCTCCCTTCATGTCAGACAGCTTCAGTCACTGACACCCAAGTCTCTTATGACCTCTTTCAGGGTCCTATCCAGTTCTAGATACTGAAAATGGATGCAAGGGGCAAAATGAGTAAAACCGACACTTTAACTCAATAAGGTAAACTTTTAGACGATCTTCAACACATATGCATAGGCAAAAGCAAATCCAAGTAATGTTCTCCCCTCAAATCCAAGTAATATTCTCCCCTCAGAGTAAAAGAAAAAGGACAAAGAATGGTGACCATCTTGATTTGGAAACCAAAGAACCCTAAATTCTTAGTTCACTTCGTTTTTGTCTTCAGGGAAAACCCAGTCAGATGATGTTTTCAATTCCCAAGGTGAGTTCAGTTGTCTGGATGAAGACTGGATTAGTTAGCTATAAGAAGTGTTACATGCATGCCTGTGCACACACACACATGCATACACATGTACACATGTACACACATAAGCACATACATGCATACATGCATGCACACATGCATATGCCAGTGCCCTCCAATCTCCAAACCCTTGTAAAATGGCTTGGAGAGATGGTTCAGCTGTTATAAACCTGTACTACTCTAGCAGGGGACATGTATAAATAATAAATAAATCTTTTTTAAAGCCAGGTGTATGTGAGAGGGTTCAGTAAAGAAAATGCCAACATGATAGCTGCATGGTGTGGTTAAGAGGGTGGTTTGTTTGTTTTATTGTAACTATGAGAGAAAGAATAGCCAGAGGCACTTGAAGAGGGCAGATCACAGAGAAAAAGTAGACTGACTATGGCCAGCAGACTGGACACAGCAGAGCAGAGGATAGAGACCAGAGAAAGCATAGAGAAGAACTGAACTGTAAAAAAGGGTGTGCAGCTGGGAGGAGGGAAGGGCTGAGAGACTGGTGGAGGGGTTCTAAAATGTATACACAGTCCTTCTGAGTAGGGACTAGCACAGGCCTCAATATACTGACAGGCACTTCAGGTATATGCTAACTGTATATGCACTACAGGTATATATGCACTACAGGTATATGCTAACTGTATATGCACTACAGGTATATATGCACTATAGGTATATGCTAACTGGAGAACCATAGTCCCCTTGGCCAGAGCTAAGGGAAATGACTCCTTTTGGTAGGCATGAACTGGCTTTACAAGTTCTGCAAGGATTCTGGCTTTTATCTAACCACCAGAAATCCTCCTATACTTCATGCTGAATTCACCCCTGGATATTTGGATTGGTTTTGGGAGTTTGGGGAACTGAGTTTCCTTCTGGGCCTGACCTGACCAGGTACCATGGCACACGTTTATAATCTCTGGGGGCAAGGCAGAGACAGGAATGTCTCTGGGACCTGAGAGCTGGCCATCCAGCCACTCATGAGCCCCAGGCCGATGAGAAACTTGCCTCAGAAAGAAAAGAAAGGGAGAGTAAGCATGGTTGCTGCCATGCCTGTCAACCTGAGTTTGATTTCCAGAACCCATGGTGGAAGAAAAGAACTGAATCCCAAAAGTTGTCCTTTGACCTCCTACAAGTACCATGGGACAGGGATGTGCTCCAGAGTTCATAGATAGACGCAATAATAACAAATAAAATCTGAACTTGAAAATATGGCTAGCACATGAGAAACAACACTCTGTTATCCTCTGGCCTCCACATGCAGGCATAACACACACACACACACACACACACACACACACACACTCAATAATAACTGGCCATCCCTGGAAAACTGTCACTGGCAGGTCACAATACTCCAGATACATTTTTATTTAAATACTTTAAAAATCCAAAAAGAAAAAGAATCTGAAGAGGGAAAGCATGAACCAAGGGAATCTTCCGCTGAGAGAACCAGGCAGGTAGGTCTCATAAATCAGAAGTCCCCCTGCTCTGTGGTGCGTGGGATGATTTACCGAGGCCATAAAGGGAGTTAAAGACGTAAGTGAGAGACACTGTGGGCGCCCAGAAGTGGGATAATGCAGACACAACGCTGTGTTTGGACGCGGAGCTCTGGGGGAGCAGAGTTCACAGCTGCCTTAAGCCCAGGGGTGACCAGTGATGGTCTTCTCAAGCATTAGAGAGTCATTAGGTACCCTTGTCACATGGCTGGGAGACACAACCAAATGTCATTATCAAGGGGAGGTAGCTATCCAATTACAGTTTTCTGCCACTCACATGGCTTCATTTGGGTTTAGGAGACCTGGGGGAGGTACTTCCAGCCAAGTGCGACGTACTCTGTAAAACTAGAAGAGATATATTTGAGCTTCAACCACGGAAAGAAAATCGCCACCGACAAAGTAAATAAAAGTGATTCCAGAGGAATACTAACCAATTAGCACATTCTTTCAGTTCAAGAAATCATAACTCATCTTGGACACTTGGCACATCCGAGCAGAGGTGCTAGGAGAAGAGAGAGCGTTTAGGTTAGGGGGAGGGTGCCCTCACTATGAAGCCTCTGATAGCCTTTCCTGGAAGCATTCCCCCTCAAACTGAAATGAAAGGTTGGTATCAAGTTGTGGATTTTAAGTCAGAATTTTGGCGTGAGACCCACGGCACAGATTTCAGAGCTGTGCTCCCCTTGAACTAGGATGAGACAGTGTCTATAGAGCAGGGGCTGGGGACTCTGGGACATGTGGACCAGGAAAAAATATCTTTTTTTTTTAAAGACACTGTCCTGTCTTGTCTTTTCTTTTCTTTTCTTTTCTTTTCTTTCTTTCTTTCTTTCTTTCTTTCTTTCTTTCTTTCTTTCTTTCTTTCTTTCTTTTTGGTTTTCCAAGACAGGGTTTCTCTGTGTAGCCCTGGCTGTCCTGGAACTCACTCTGTAGACCAGGCTGGCCTCAAACTCAGAGATCCGCCTGCCTCTGCCTCCCAAGTGCTGGGATTAAAGGCGTGCACCACCACTGCAGAAAAAAATATCTTAATGGAGGGGAAAGAGCACATGTTCAAAGTAAATTACATATGAGTATGGAAATACCCTAATGTGGCCCATTATAATTATAATAGCCTAATTTTAAAATGTTAATGAAACAGGAAATATATATGCATATATATATGCATATATATGCATGTATACATATATATTATTATATTATATATTGCTTTTTCAGCTCTATAAAAGTAAAAAGGAGAGAGAGAGAAGAGAAAGTGGAGGAGGGAGGAAGAAGGAGGAAGATGAGAGAGAAGCACTAGCTATTATTATCATGATTTTGAGAAAAGAATGAAACATTCAATACCTAAACATAATTCCCCACAAATAAGATGAGATGAATTCACATCTGTGAGCAAAGTCACTTGTTTTATCTTCTCCAAGGCAGGCATTAACGAGCCTCTGCCTGGCACAGGAAAGAGTAAGAGCTTTATGGAAACACAAGTTTTAATACCAGCTCCACCTCCTGTTAGCCATGACAGGTTCCTTTAAGTCCCAAAGGCATGGGGGTTTTGTGGAGTTTCCTTGAAGGTTAACTAGGCAGAGAAAATGATGCAGGCACCTGGAGCTTAGTGAGACAGCCTGAGCACCCTTTACCCCCAGGTCCAGGAGTGTCTTGGGGAATGATGATATTGAGGACAGGGGGAAGCTGGCTTCAATGTTCCTACACCCAACAAGAAGACTGCCTCTCTCTTCAATCACACACCACTTTTGCCTGGTCTAGTGTTGTGGGATCTGGTCTTCTTCCTGTCAAGCCTCTTTCCCAGAAGAGCCTGGCATTATCCAACTAAAGACAGAAGAGCTAGGTTGTGTGGGAGAGTGTCCTCAAGGTCCTGCACACCCTGGAATTCTCTCGGGATAGAGCTGGAAGACTCATGAAACTGCCAGGAAACCTGTCATTTTGATTTACAATGAAATTGATTTGTTTGTCGGTCGAAAAGACAGATGGAGTAAGTGTTGCCAAAAACCAGGAGGATTTGTCCACAACCAGCTCTTATTTACTGTAGGCCTTTTTAGTTCAAGATTTATGTCAGAGCGCAACATGCGACTGTAAAATGTAGAGTTAGGCCCGATCACACTCCTGTCCACCTCCCTCTGGCAGAAGGATGCTATATAGCTCCTCAAGGAGATGCTGAGACTCATGCTCAGCTAGAGACAGAATGATTTAATCTCTTCCCTGGGACCTTTGGAAACACCACTCCAAATGTCCATTTATTCAGAATTAGATCTGAAGTCTGCATCTATCTCGTTGGAAAAGAGCGTGAAGCCCTAAGAGCAAAGGGTCTTCTCTGGAGGGCCCTTATGGTGCGGCCTGAGCTGTCTATCAGCACATCTCGACTGTGGCTTTACTCTTCATACATCTACGGCTTGGCTTCTCACTGGGAATTATGATTTATTCTACTCTTTTCTCTCTGACGAGACTTTGATAAAGATCAAAGGAATCTATAAATTTGAAAAGTTCGCAGCTCTTGTGCAATGCGGTACAAGTTTAATCACAGTGCTTTTAGTGGAACTTCCGTGTTCTGTCATTAAAGACAGCGCGTCATTATGCAGCCCTGGCTGGAACTTGCCCTGTAGACCAGGCTAGCATCCCACTCACAGAGATCCACCTGCCTCTGCCTCCTGAGTGCTGGGGTTAAAGATGAACAGCAGGAAGCCCAACAGCTTATTCTTTCTTTAAAGATCTAAAGTCAAAATAAAAACACTCAATGAAATACAACCTTGTCCAGGTCTTTGAGAACTCACCGAGAGCTTGGCTTCCAGTCTTGGCATCTCCAGAAATCATACAGGTTTCTCTGGCCCTAAGAAAATCATGCAACCCATACCCCAGTCTCTTTAAATCCAGTTTTAGCCTATGGGCTCTCCCAGCCCCTGGGATGAGATAGGCACGTCCTCTTGTGGTCTCTTCATCCTCACCACTATCTTCTCCCAGCAGGATTTCCCAGGCACTTCATTTTCATCTTAAACAAAAAGCAGATCCCTCCTTAAGGAGCACTTAGGTACCTGCTGCTAAGGTAATAGCACCCAGGCATAAGAGCATTGTTACCAACTGTGATGCAAGTAAGCCAGTGGATCTCAAAATGTGCCCTATCTAAGCACATGCCAGTGGCAGCAGCAAAAGCAGCCAGGTAGCTTGTTAGAGATGCAAGCACAGAGGCCACAGCCTAGTGTCAATACTCTGGAGAGCAATCCAGCAACCTGTGTTTTAACCCAGGTCTCCGGGAAATCCTGATGCAGCAGAAGTATGAGATTGGCTGAGCCTTCAAGGTTCAGCAAAAGCTTTTGTGTTAGGAAAGAAGAGAAAGTAATTTGAAGCATGAGTTCTACCCATATGGTTTGAAACAAGCAACCAGAAAATTCACAAACCTGAAGTGTTAGGGTCATATCAATGTACACAGGTTTAGCCTGTATTTCTAACGATGCTGGAGAGGAAGGAGAGACTGCAACCTAAGCAGCATGCAGAGAGCTGGAGTTGGCCCAGGGCCCACTTCTCAGGCCTCCAGGTGCGATGGGGGGTTCCCCATCCCACACCCACTCCAGGGTAGAGGGTGATTAACGGGTGCCTTTCATGATTTAGGCCTACAGTCTACAGGGCTCACAGGGAGAACTCAGTGTGGGCTGGAGGAGTTGAGGACGTTGGCTGGGCCCCTTTACAAAACAAGAACTGGACAAGGAGAGATTTATGGGCTTTTTCCCCCCTTTTCTATTTTGGTAACATTCCACAATGTGCGGGAGACGGTGGAGAGCTCGTTCTTTTAGATAGTGGGCACAGATTATATTTGCCTGAAGGTGGAAGCAAGATCTCACCAGCCAACCTAGGTTTTGAGTGGCATCTTACCTACCTCTCATGTGAAGTTGGGACAGAGCTCTTGTGTCCCTCTGAAAGTGGCCCAGTGGTCCTGATTGGCCCAATGCCCAAATGAGGATAGCACCCACCTTGTGTTCCACCTTGCTCTGCTCTTGGCTCTCTTGTTGCTATTTCCTGGGCTTGCCTGTTGCTCTCCTGTCTGTCTCTCATGCTCATCCGTCCTTGCTGCTGCCGTATGTTATACCTGCTTATTTGCATTAGAGGTTCCACCCACCTACATTGTGTGTCCCCAGCCAAGAGCCCTCTAAGTAGTCATAGGCTTGGACTTGGACTGGTGGTATGGATGAAGAGAGAGGGAAGGGTGAAAAAGCAGAGCGAAACCTTGACAGTCTTCCTTCAAAGAAGGTACCTTGCAGCTCAGGGGAGGGCAAAAGCAAAGAATGACTAACCACAGCCTACAGCACCACGGAGCCTGAGCATGGCATTTACCATAAAGCTCCCCAGCAGCAAGGTCTGGCACAGTACACAACTAATTGATTAAATTAAACAAAGAAAGAAGATGGGAAAAGAAAGGGATGGCAGAGCTTTTTGAGATCCTGAAGGGTAACCCAGTTACACACGAGTTAAAAGTTCTCCTTCAACAATCTAATAGCTGGGCGAGCTCCAAGGAACCCATCTAACTGTTCTCAAGTGGCTATATCAGAACTTTGGTTAACCCTAAGATAAAACATAGTATGGTCGGGCTGGTGAGATGGCTCAGTGGTTAAGAGTACTGACTGCTCTTCCAGAGGTTCTGAGTTCAAATCTCAGCAACCACATGGTGGCTCACAACCATCTGTAATGAGATCTGATACCCTCTTCTGGGGTAACTGAAGATAGCTACAGTGTCCTTATATACAATAAATAAATATTTTTAAAAAACAGTACGGTCAGCTACTGAAGTGGTAAGATGAACTAGTCAGCAAAAACAAAGCTTAGCTGAACTGGACTGACTGGCTTGGCTAGAATTTCAGTGGATCTTCTCAGAAATGTCATTGCAGATTTATGGGGAGAGAGAAGCTACAGTGGGTGAAATATAAAGGTGCTAATTGAAACGCAAACTCAGTAACTAAATAGCAGAGCTTCCAAGGAGACTAAAATAATAGTAAAAAATTTTCCATGTCCTGTGCAAACTAAGTCCAATTATAATCATACACTAAGTCATGACCTGCGTGCCATGGTTTCAGCAAATACAGTGTTACTGTCTCTTGGAGGAGGTGGGGACACATGTATCTAAGGGCCCCTAAGCATTTGATGGCTGGAAATCTAGAACTTTGACAGCCAAGTAGCAAAGCACTGTAGTTGGAAAAACGACATCTAGTTTTGCTAAGGTCAGCTCACTCATCCTTTTCCTGAACTTTTAAAGTAATTCTTGGAAAGAAGTTAACATCCCAGAGTGCAACTGCCATGGGGCCCTGACTCAAGTAATCTGAAACAAACGCCAACACTACCCAGAACTCAGGAAGCCTAATTCTCAACTTGAAAAATGACCAGAGCTATTTCTTTCTTCTCGTGGAATAATAGAAAACTCAGTTACTCAGTGGCCAAGTATTCTCTCTCTCTCTCTCTCTCTCTCTCTCTCTCTCTGTGTATGTTAAAATATGTATGATTTTTATTAGTTTCAAATAGCATAGCAGAAAGACACATTCAAACTAAGACCCTAAATATTCTTTTGGATTTTATCAAGTCTGGTTGATGTGTGACTTTAATTTGTTAAAACATTAAACAATAATTTGACAGGCACCAATTTGGATGAAATACCCCCATTGGTTGAGGAGTAGTTGGAGTCAAAGTAGACAAATAAACACATATATTCCCTACGTGTGGTAAGGCAGTCAGCAGGTAAAGACAAGGAGACAACACAGGAAAGATGCTAACTGAGGTTGATACTTCAAAG